TTTTAAATTAATCAGTGTTTGATAATTCTCATATCTAAAAGCCTTATGCTCTTCTTTTGCTGTCTGTTGTTTTCTGCTTGTTCTTACTCTTTTGCCTCACATGTTTGATTATATTTGACTGTGTGCTAATCACTGCCCTTGAAAAATTATTCATGAGGATTTCCCAGGGCTGAAAAAGAAGGTGCCTTTCCTCCAGGGAGAATATGCATTTGTTTCTGCCATTCCAGAACCACTCAAAACTAAGGATCCCTTGGACCACTAACTGATGCAAATTTGGACTGAAATCCATGTAAAAGTATCTGTCTCAAAGATATGATTTCTTTTATCTTCTGTTCTGCTCAGCCCCAGGGCAAATCTCCCCAGGGTGCCCTAGTGGTGAGGGAAGGGAAACACTTTTACTTCTAATTTATCTTTACTATGATGACATAATCTGTGACAGAGGATGGTCTCTGTTATTAATAATAAATATGGGGAGGATTTTATTTCATTTCCCTATCATGATAAAGGGCTTTAATAACCCTTCCTCTTATCCCACAATCTATTAAAACCACAGCTTGATTTTACTGAGTTTGGCTTTGATTTCTCTCTTTCTTTCACTGCAAAGCTATCAAAACCTCAATTTAATTTTGTCTAAAGTTGGCTTCAAACAAAAGTAAATTTCTGTGCTTTGTTTACTTTCTGAGTTCTTGCTTTCTCTTAGCTTTTGGCTTGGAAATATAGTTTAGTGGGTTTAGTGGGTACAGAGTTTAGTGGGTACAGAGTTTCAGTTTGAGAAGATGAAAAAAGTTCTGAAGATGGATGGTAGTGACAATTGCACAACAAAGTAAACATACTTAACGCCACTGAACTACATTTAAAAATGGTTAAAACGGTAAATTTTATGTTATGTATGTTCTACACAATTTTAAAAATTCTTACTCAAATGATAAATTTTCTTACCTTCCCACATATATAAATACACAAAATTAATAGTATATATATGCTTAACAGGGACATTTTCAGAAAGTACTTTATGATTAAATGTCAAGTCTGAATAACATTAAATATATTAAGCCCTTACTTCTGAAAAGCTTTGAATCTTAAAGATGTTTTCTTTATATATAACTATGTGAAGAAAAAAATACAAAAATATTGGAAAATAGATTTAACAAATAAAATGCGGCTTCATTTGATATTTTATTCCCAAGGTAAGAAGGCTCATTATAGATAAATTTCACATTGCTTCAATGCAGATATCCTTAAATCAAAGTTATTTTATATAAAATTTTATCTCCAATTCAAAAAATCTATGGCAATATTCTCAAATATGAGTAATATTAAATAATTTGTGAATTTATAGAAATTCACTACTATGCATTTCTTTATTTTATAAAAAGTTCAATGAAAGACTACTTTAAAATTAAATTCTTAAGTATTTTTATAAGCATCAATTAAGTATTTTTCACACTCAGCATATTTATAATTAAAGAATTTAAAAAAAAGCTGCTTAAAAACTACTGACACCTTTCTCCAGGGGTGGACTGCTCATGCTACAGATAAAAAGAAGGGGGTGGGGAGGAAGGGGAAAAGAGGAAAAGGGGAAGGGAAAATGTTTTACTTGTCAATATCTATCCAAACCTTCATGTTAACTCCTCAAGCTCGCTTTATCACCTAGGCTATAATCACTTTATAAACAACTGCATAAACACCTATCTTAATCTATTTAATGCCATTCTTAAAGAACAAGTATATTTTCTCCCATCATAAGATCCCTCCATAATGTTGTGATGGAAATATTTCTATATTCCCCACCAGTACCTCCTTCCCTTGCCCTTATTTTAATAAAGATGTTTAAATTTCTTCCATCTTAAAAAAATATTTTCTTTGATGTTGTATGTCCATTGTATTATAGCTTTTAAAGTCAGTGGCCTTGGTGTGTAATTTTGTTTCCCTCTCTCTACTTCATCTCCAATTCCCTTATTAAGCCACTTTTGCCTCTTTCTCTATTATGCCATTGAACTGCTCTTGCTAAGGTCTCAACTTATAACTGAAAAAAACCAACAGACATTTTTCAGTAACTCTCTTTGGCATCTGACACAACAGACCACATTCTCTTTAAAATTTGCTACTTTTTCTTCCATGTTTTACTCTTCTGTCTGTAAGATATTTTAGTTTATATGCTCTTGGTTAAATAGATTTATAGATTATAGTAAATAGAATCATAAATAGTAGAATTTTTATAATACATTTTAATTAGATCAGGGGTATCCCCCCAAAACTTTTGTTTTATACAATAGCTTGCTAATTATCTGGTATCAATGTACTTATGAAGAGTTATTAAAATAAATTATGTTTTATGTTTTTCTTTGTAGAGGCAGGATCTTACTACGTTGCCCAGGCTAGTCTCGAACTCCTGGCCTCAAGGATCTTCCTGCCATGGCCTCCCAAAGTGCTGAGATTATAGGCATGAACCACCCCATCTGTCCAAATTATGTATTTTAAACACAAACTCTAATGTTCTAAACTTGGTCATTTTCTCTTTGATAAAAAGTTGCTGTATTACATTATCTAGCAAATGTTACAAAAGAAGTACAGTATTTTCTTTAAGGGAAATATGATATTTTGACAACAAATGTAAAAATAAACGAGTTTTGGAAAACACATTATGTAAAATGTATTATATTTTGAAAAAAGTTCATTGTTGCCAAAAATAGTATCTTTAAAGAACACACATATCATCACACTTCAAACACCTGAAGAACAAAATTTTGATTTGCTTTTAAATTATCAAACAATTTTTATAGGTTTTGAACCTGTTAAAAACTTTCAAAAGCAAACCTTTCAATTAATTTGTAGGACCAACTAATTGACATCAGGAAAAATGGCAAATACTAGCTGATTTCAACAAAAACTTTTGAACTATTTTTTAGTAGACATGATTGAAAAAATATGCTTTAGTTAAAATAGCCAATAATATATTTGTTTCATTTGGAGCTACATATCTTTATGAGGTATCTTTTTCAATGATAACAGCTATTAAAAACAAGTATTCAAGAAACTGTATACAATTCATTTTTATTACATAATATTTTAAATAGTTACGTGTTTCACCAACCTGACTGTGAATTATTTACAAGTGGAGACTTTCTTCTTATTTGTATCTCTAGGACTTATTTCTCTTCTTCTTGTTTGTATCTCTAGGACTTTGACTATATGCCATACAACAAATAATTATTCAATCAATGCTTTGTGAATGAATGACCAGAAATACAGGCCAATACATTAATAACATTAATAAGAAAATACACACACACACACACACACACACACACACGTGTGTAATAGTGTAGGGCCTAATTATGTAAGCAACATGTTATTTGAAATAAGTTTAGCTCCAAATCACAATGCTCTGATACCAATTTGATGGTGTTTTATGGCTAAACTTAAAATTCATTCACCTACATTATGCCTTTCCTAATCAGGATATGTTCTTATAAATGAGGATATCATAGTTGCCCTCTATAACATCTTTACTTTCAAAGTGAATCATCACTGATAAAGGAATAAATATAAAGTCAATAAAAAAGAAGCAAAACTAATAGAACTATTACCATAATAAAACAATGAATAAATTACCCAGCACAAATAAAACTGTAGCAGTATTAAAATTAAACTTTCAAAATAACAAATTAGAAATAAAAATCAAATAACAGCATTTTTTTTCTTTTTTGTGAGGGTCACCCAGGCTGGAGTGCAACGGTATGATCACAGCTCACTGCAGCCTCAAACTCATGGACTCAAGCGATCCTCCTGCCTCAACCTCTGGAGCAGCTGGGACTACAGGTGTGAGCAACCACACCCAGCAAAATTTTTATTTTAATACTTGGTTTATATCCACTAATCTCATAAAGAATGTGATGGCTACTTAGCATTAAGTTTCACCATGGTAAATTTTCCTTTTATGCTATATTATAAAGTTTTTTTTTTAAAAATCATACAATTAGTCATATAAATATTTCCCAATACAAAATTACACTTAGATCTCTACTGTAATTAAAGAAAAGAAGCCAATATTATAATTTTAACTGAAAAATATTAGACAATGAACACATAAATATTCTATTAGTATGTCTTCTAATTGCATCTTCAGAAAGAAAAGTTCAAAGAGAAAAGTAAGCAAAATAAAGTAAAACAAATGCTGTTCCCCAAAATGAATTTGGATTAATAGAATATATATTTTTGCTGATATATATAAGATAAATTGCTAATGATTATAAGAGTTATCCTATTAATTATACTAAGAAAAAAATTTACCTTATAAAAGCTAATGCCCAAAATGACTCACTAAAATTTAAGCTGGATAATTTAGTGTGGAGATGCTAGTACAGCTCACTGTAACCTGGGCTCAAGCAATCTTCCTGCCTCAGGCTTCCCAGTAGCTAGGACTACAAGTGTGCAACACCACAGCTGGATAATTTATTTTTATTTTTTGTAAAGACCAAGTCTTGCTATGTTGCCCAGACTGGTCTTGAACTCCTGGCCTTAAGCAATCCTACTGCCTCAGCCTCCCAAAGTGCTTGGATTATACATGTGAGCCACCATGCCTGGCCCTTATGCTGAATTTTATTGGTGATATCTACCAATCTTCTGTCCCCAAACTATATCTAGGGTCATTTTCTCTCAAAATGCATTGTAAGACAGCATGGAGCTCAAGAATACAAAAGATACAAAATGGAAAGTACAGTAAAATAAGGCAGTATTTCTATAACAAATGTTATTACTGTTATTCTTTTTAGAAACATTATAAAACATCCTGGAAAGCTTTCTCCTTCATTTCTATATTTATAGTTACTTTAATTACATAAGTTTGATATTACCTAAAAATTTACCCATGGCCTATTGACTGTACTCTAGTATTCCTTAACATAGAAGAAAAAAATAGTATAAAACATAAAAGATCAAAACAAAATAAAATAATACAAAGCCAAATTTAGAAGCAAAACTATCCCATTGATACCTACCTCCTGGAAATGCCATTAGCCAGACATTTTTGGCTACAGGATTTGGAGGAGAGGGGTGATGAAGTTGGGGACAAGTTGAGAGGGGCAATCAAACTGTTGATGATCTCAGTCAACTGTGCACTCTGCAAGGAAACAGTAAACCTTTTACTACTGCTAAGCAAGAAATGTGAGTTAATTCTCAGACCTATAATACCTATTAAGTGTTTAACTTCTCATGACACATGTAAATGTTTTTATTTCAGTACATATTTTAGCCTATAAAGATGATTTACACAGCTGATTTTTCCACTTATTATAAACAAATCTACATTTTAAGTTCCCATCCTTTTTCATACCCTTTTTATTATAGTTTATTTAATATAATATTTAAACTATATACTATAGTTTAATATTTAAAATATTTAATATAATATTTAAACTATATATTATGGTTTATTTATTATAGTTCCTTCATCTACCCATCTCATCATCTAAAACATCAGAACCCAGCTAATAGCATATATATTTTCCTTGAGGTAGCCAATTTAATAATTAAAAAATTATAGCTATAATGTATTAAGTGCCTACTATGTGCTAGGCACTATACCCGGCACCAAACATAGAGTATTTCTACTCTGCACAACTAACCTGCAAAGTAGATAATATTAGAGCTTCTGATATCACTATTATTACCATTTATAGATTAGTAAATTATAGAAAAGAAAGAAAGATTAAGGAGTTTGAGCAAGGGTTATAAAGTTGGTAATAAATGGAAGTAGGATTCAAATTCAGGTCTACATCTAGCACTACACTGTTTCTCAATAGTTTTCCTAGTTCAAAAATATCAGGGTTTTTTTGGCCACTTAAGATTTCATTGGCCATTATCCTGAACTTAAATATATGTAATAAATAGTAAATTATTCTCAAAACAATAACAAATATAATAAAGTCCACATAAATAGAGTACATTTCTACAAAAGAATAACTATTTTCATTATACATGTAATGCATGTTCATTGTAGAAAAACTAGAAAATACAGAGAAGTTTAAAAGATTAAAGAAAGTCAACTGTAATCATACTTCAAAGAAAAATACATTGCCAATATTTTGGTATATATTTCTCCCTCTAGACTAAGTTTTCTGAGTATATGTGATCATGAGTGTATGTATAACACACACTTTTAATCAAATCATGTCACAATAATTTCTAAAACCTGGTTTTCTCAAATAATATAGTGAATATCTTTTAAAAATATATATAGACCTATTTCACCATTTTCATTGACTATAAGATATTCTATTATAAATAAAGGGGTACATGAAATAACTTGAAACTTCATTTGTATGAAACTAATAACATTCTATGAGAAATAATAAGACTAAATATTATAGAATTAATCCTGATTATTTTATTCCTTCAAAAAGTCTTTCATGAGAAAGACCCTGAAATATTTTCACCATTTATTTTCTTGAGAGATAATATGCACCTAATGACTTGATTTTAAAAATTATTACTCAGATTTTTTTAGATTAAAGCTCATTTTCGGGCTGGGCGCGGTGGCTCACGCCTGTAATCCTAGCTCTTGGGAGGCCGAGGCGGGCGGATTGCTCAAGGTCAGGAGTTCGAAACCAGCCTGAGCAAGAGCAAGACCCTGTCTCTACTATAAATAGAAAGAAATTAATTGGCCAACTGATATATATATACAAAAAATTAGCCGGGCATGGTGGCACATGCCTGTAGTCCCAGCTACTCGGGAGGCTGAGGCAGAAGGATCGCTCGAGCCCAGGAGTTTGAGGTTGCTGTGAGCTAGGCTGACGCCATGGCACTCACTCTAGCCTGGACAACAAAGCGAGACTCTGTCTCAAAAAAAAAAAAAAAAAGCTCATTTTCAAGATTATCAATACAAATAGATTCTTTATCCATTTAGCAAGTGTTCCTTAGTTTAATTTTACAATTAAATTTATGAAGTATCTCATATTTTCTAGTGTGAAACACTGAAACTCTCTTCTCATTGTTCCATCTCTAAAAACATCTAAAATCTTTTGAGCCACTGGAGGGCGCTGGTCAGGCATTTTTGAGTAATTGGCCTAGAAGGACACCATTACAAGCCTTAGCTTTACCCTAATAACCAACCTACAGTGGCCCAGTAAAATCTCATATACCTGTGTCTATACGTGGGATAGTAAAATAAGAAAAGTAAAATTAAATAATCAAATAGTCAAATAAGAAAAATAAAATTAAGAGAAGCATAATTTGAACTCTGAAAACAAAAACTAATCAACTTTAATTCAAAATACTTAACAAGGTTTCTAAAGTAAATATACCAGCAGTAAAATTTATTTTATGTCAACTAAAATACGAAAAATAAGATATTTTTCAATTTGTGAGCAAAATATATTATCTAACAATGCAAGCATATATTAATAATATGAATCAATAGGTTATTTTTTAAACATGTTATCAGCCTACAACTTAACAGTGGTTTTATATTTTAACTTCCAAGTCTAACAAAACTACTTTAATCAAGTCAAAAGATTATCTGTGAACAGTTATGTATCAATAGATTATATTAAGAAAGCTAAGTGCAATAATGGGCTTGCTACCCTTACCACTTAACTCACTTCTAGATGGTCTTCCTTTACAAGTATCTGAAAACAACTTAAGTTTCTAAAATTGGCCTATAAAAGTAGTATTACCACATCTGAAGAGCAAATAACCTATTTGTAGGCAATTTATTAATAACCTCTACAAGCAATTGCTGCTGCCTCTTTCTGCATCTTTTTCTTCTACTCTCCGTATGTCGAGCCATTATTGTTGCTCTCACAACTACTACTCCTTCCGTACACTACCAAAGCATCTGATACTCCCATCAGCAATGAGATCTAAAATGCTAGCCAGGGCCAGCTTCACTGGTGTGCAACTCTGTGCATAAGGCTGCATTCAGAATGGTCCTAGGCTTGCTTAGTGTTCTGCTGCCACTGTCTTTAAATTCTTAATAATTGTTTTTAACAAACGGCTCAGCAATTTCACTTTTCACTGGGATCCACCAATTAGACAGTTCTTAAGTTATCTCAAGTCTAACCAAAAAAACCTGGTTTTACCAAGGAGAAAGAAAAAGGTACAAGAAATCTCTTTTGGAAATGAAAATCCCTCTAGAATTGTACTGTATGAAGAATTAGTTTAATCAGCTTATACTTTCTAATGAATAAGTAGTGACCTATAGGTAAAGAAAGTAGATTTGACAGAATAAGCAAATAAATTACCCTACATTGTGAAACAACTAGGGTCCAACCAAAAGAGGATTAATACTATGAGATCAGGGGAGGGAAAAGAAAGAAGTGGGAATATGAGAACATAACCAAAACTAATTCAAAACATAATTTATATAATAAAGTGCATTACAATTTAACATCAGATGATTACCAAATAACTTTCTGAATTACAAAATATTCATAAAGGTGTTTTGATTACATATTCCAATTAAGGAAAACTCTAGGCAATTGTAATTTTAATAAATATGTAGTAGAAGAAATTACATCATAATTTGATTTACCAGGAATAAGACAGTAACCTGTATTTAATTATTTCCTGCATTTAATTATTTTTTGAAAAAAATCCAGGAAAATTAGATGCAGGCAGGCATGAATCTTTATCATTTCCTAGAGGAACAATGTAATCATGCAGCTATTGTCAAGAATGGCTATGCTCTGACAGACTCAGTCTAGTCACAGTAACAATCTCCTAGAAAGCTAGGTTTGTTCAAAAGCCACCAAAATCTAAATAAAAATAAATTGTTTGATTTTAAAGGATAGATATAAGGTAGATAGGCCAGAATAATTAAACTTGAGGAGTTATCCATAGTAACATTTAGATCCCAGGGAAGGCTTTGGAAGCAAAGTAATTATTATAGGCTTCTTTGACTTTCCATTTACATAATCATTTTTTATGATGAAACCCATACTCCAATATTATCCTTTACTAAAAACCCAATCAATAAACTGGTCAAACAACCATTCAGATTTATTAATTGTTACCACTGTTCTTTCCCCTTGAAAAAAGTCCAATGACAGGCAATTTTGTTAGAAAAAAGATTTTCCAACCGTAATATAAATGATTATCACCCTATGGCTATGTACCAATACTTTGTATATTATATTTATGTAATTTTAATTAATCAATATTATGATAAATATCACTCATATACCGAATATTTTAATTGCATTTAATGTCAAATGGCCAACTTCAATAACCCATATTCCAGGCAGACACACATATAATGATGTTTATTTGAATAGTTTATAAAACCAATGAAAAGTCATTTCATATCACTGACACCCTACTCTGATGTTACCTGTTTTTCTATGTTTCGAAGAAGTAAAGTAGGGCTGCTTGGTGACATTTCAAAATCTTGTTCTGGTAAAGGATCTTGACACTCTTGGGGAACCTGAGGATTCCCTGTAGTGTTTAACGAAGCTGCTTGGTCTGCAAATTGTATTTGTTTTTTCAAAATGTCTTTTGGAAGTTGACATTCTTCTAGGATCACTATCCCCTAGACAAACAGCAATGAGAGAGTTGAAATGAAAACAAATTGATTACTAAATCACCTCTGATGCTACAAGGCACTTGAAATTATGCTTCTTATTATCCCTTGAAAATCAGAAAACATAAACTTGAAAGTCCAGTTTAATTCTGTAAAGAATTGGCTGATTGAAAATATGTTCTGGTAAAATAACATGTATGGCTGATGTATTGGGCTTATGAAAATATGTGCTGGCAAAATAACATGTATGGCTGATGTATTGGACTTGTAAAATATTGTCTTAACTTACATATATGCAAGTTTTTTTCTAGTTGGTTTTAATTATTAGTATTAAAAGCATGACACATTTAAAATAAAATTAAAGGCTTATTATACTCAGACTAGGGAGATTTCATACTGAAATCCAAAATATTTCCTAATAGAATCTTCTAGTATTTTAGTCACCAGCATTTCTATTTGAGTTTTATATTTCAGCACTCCCAATTTTATAAAATAAAATACCAAATTTACAAATATCCAAAGAATAATCTAACTCTGCACTAACTCCTTTCAGAGTACCCTTAGGAGCCCTGTCTCTGTTGCTGCCAGCCAGCAACCACAGGTAGGAGTGCCCCACTGAGCAAAAGTACCATCTAGGCCAATCAAAGTTCCTGCTACCTACAGAGTTGCTGTGCTAATAATAAAGACACAAGCTTTAAACTTCGATGGGATATTTTCTGAAATGTAAGGAACTGAGGAAATGTAAGGAATTAGTAGGGAACTAGTTGCCTCTGTAGTCCCTGCTTCCTACTCACACACATACTTATTTTTCAACTTGTTTGCTTAGCTTTCTCCTATATTCATAAGCTTCCTCACTCCACCTGTTCTGAACCTTAGGTTCCTCAGAGGCAATGGAGACAGGAAAGAAAGGGAAAAAAAGGAGTGCAAAGAAATGATCTTAGTGGTTTCATAGTCAGTTCTCATCATTATCCCTTTCAATAGCCTTCCCCCTAAAAGAATATAGTAATATATATATTTGAAAAATTCTAATAAACTCCTATAGGCTAATTGGAAAAGTATAAAACTCCTAATGTGGCTAAAATATTATATTCTTATAAATAAAAATAGATTAAAATATTAATATTAGTGTACATTATTTCAAGAATAGAAGAAATTAAATGACTGCTGTGAGCCAGCCTATATTATATATAAGTCCTATTTATTAGATGAAAACTGCCTATAGATGCCTATATAAAAATCAAATTTTTATATATAGTATGCTATATATAAGTTGTAGTTTATGCCATATAATTTAGAGAATATGTAACTTTAGAGTGGACATATTCAGTTATCGTGTTAAACACATATTTTTGGTAAAAGCAGTAAACGCAGTATTGTTTTTTAAATTTACATTTAAAATAGTGCTAGTTTGCTAATTTTTCCAAAGAGAAGGGGATCCAATTGTTGATCTCAATGACTATTTTCTTAGAATGTACAAATATTGCTGTCAAAAAATCTGAAGAAACATACTTAAAAGAAGTCTTGTTTCAGATGATATTTTAAAAATTAAATTAGATATTATAGATATAGTATCATCAATCTTTAAGGCTCTTGAAAGTATCCATTCAAATTTCTATAAGTCTCTCACTAGGTTTTTCACAAGTACCTGCATGCAAAAGAAACACAAGTTTTTACCGTATCAATTTAATTGCAATTATCTTTGGTTTAATTGCAGTTTATATTATAGGCCACTATGTTATAGATTAGCTTGATTTCATAACCCATACTTATAATATTGCTTCTATGGAAAACTCTATTCTGAATTTCAAAGCTCAATTTCTAAGCCTTTTTAATACTACCTTTTTATAAGTAGGCAGCCTGCTGTAGTTAGCTCAATAAACAATGATATTTTTAAAATTCATTCATAGTCAACTTCATAATCTACTTTTTCCCTTAAACTATCACCTTGGAAAACTCTCAGAGTGTAAGAAGAGTGGCCCATGATGATCTGCTGAAGCCAAGAACAGAGGAAAGGGGTAAAGATGAAATCCTTTGTGGACAGAGAGTTAGTTTCTATTCTTAAAAAGTTAGTAAAAGAATAGTCAAATGATAGATAAAACCAGGTGGATAACAAAGATATAATTTTTTTTGTTTAACAAAAATGAGTTACAATAACTGAGATAACTGAAAACTCTAGCATGAGATGAAAGCAAATCTACTGCTCCACAGAAGACAACTGTTCCTGTAATAACACTAGTGAGGTCTCTCACTCTAACCCTCAGGGTCTTCACAGAGAAACATTGTATGAAAAAATAAACAATTGCCTCAGCAACATCTTTATTATTCCCCTAAAGTCACTGACTTTAAGCAAAAATTTAAATATAAAATTTAAAACACACAAAAGGTACAATTTAAAAAGTAGAAGACTCTATTACAGGATAACAAAATAAACCCAAGAAAGAGACCATTTATATAGGATAGCCAGTGTTCTCCCAAGAAAAAGTATTTCAATTTGAGAGTAAGAAGAATCTGTTGTCTTAGTGGAAAACTGAAGTGGAAAAAAAGGGGAAATATGGGAATTTGTAATTTATTGACAAAACTAAGAACAACCAAAGGATGTTGCTAATAACTGCTATCTTCTCCTCTCTAAAAATTTAAGCAAAATGATTCTTTAAGGAAACAAAGGGCCAGGTACACATCTAACTTGAATCAAGAAAAAAGTAAGTCCATATAAATTATTACTGAAAGTTTGTATGTGTTTCCTTAAAACAATTTATTCCAATAGATAATATATAAACATGAAATCAAAATTTTAAAAAATTTTAAACAAATATGTAGTACTGCTTATAATATACAGAATATGAAAATATCCTTTCTCAAGTCAAAGGATTATGAATCAGATTGCCTAGATTAAAATATAAAACTTAGTCATCAATTTTGGCTGGGCGTAGTGACTCACGCCTATAATCCTAGCACTCTGGGAGGCCGAGGTGGGATAACTTTGTAATGTTAAAATTTAATCTGCCTGGTAACCACAAAGAATATAGCTATAGAATATACAGAAGGAAATTACAAATAAATTAAACATTTCACTATCAAAAAATCACACTAAGCACAAAAAAGACAGTAATGCAGCGATGAGTAACAAAAAAACTATAAAGGGTTGACACAGTGGCTCACACCTATAATCTCAGCATTTTTGGGAAGCTGAGGTGGGAGGAACTCTTAAATCCAGGAGTTGAGACCAGCCGTGGCAACATAGCAACATTGTCTCTACAAAGTATAAAGAATTAGCTGGGTGTGATGGCATGCACTTGTAGTTCCAGCTACTTTGGAGGCTGAGGCAGGAGGATCACCAGAGCCCAGGCACTTCAGGTTGTAGTGAGCTGTGATCATGTCACTGCACTCCACCCTGGGTGGCAGAGTGAGATTCTGGCTTAAGCAAAAAAAAAAAAAAAAAAAAAAAAAAAAAGCTATAGACATATAGACAACAAATAACAATATGTCAGAAATAAGTCTATCCTTATCAGTAATTACTTTAAATATAAATCGATTAAACTCTCCAACAAAAGACAGAAATTACAATGGATATAAATACACATCCAATCCATGCTGTCTAGAAGAGACTCATTTTAATCCAATGACACAAATAAGTTGAAGTGAAAAGATGGAAAGATAGTCCATGCAAGTAGTAATCAAAAGAGAGTAGGGATGGTGATACTAATATCAACAAAGAGACTTTAAATCAAAAAGTCTACAAGAGACGAAGAAGGCCATTATATATAATAAAAGGATAAATGCAGGCCGCGGCATGGTGGTTCACGCACTGTAATCCTAGCACTCTGGGAGGCCAAGGCGGGTGGATTGCTCGAGGTCAGGAGTTCGAAACCAGCCTGAGCAAGAGCAAGACCCCATCTCTACTATAAATAGAAAAAAATTAATTGACCAACTAATATATATAGAAAAAATTAGCCGGTCATGGTGGCACATGCCTGCAGTCCCAGCTACTTGGGAGGCTGAGGCAGCAGGATTGCTTGAGCCCAGGAGTTGGAGGTTGCTGTGAGCTAGGGTGACGCCACGGCACTCACTCTGGCCTAGGCAACAAAGGGAGACTGTCTCAAAAAAAAAAAAGGATAAATGCAGCAAGAAGATATAACATTTATAAACAATTACACACCTGATAACAGACCATCAAAATGCATGAAGCAAAAACTGATAGAACTGAAAGGAGAAATCAAGAGTTCTACAATAATAGTTGGATACTTATATAACCCACTCAATAGATGGAAGATAAGTAAAGAAACATAGGACTTAACACAATAAACCAACTGGATTT